AAAAAAAAAAAAAAAAAAAAAAAAAAAAAAAAAAAAAAAAAGAAAAAAAGAAAGAAAGAAAGAAAGAAAGAAGAAAGGAGAAAAAAAGAAAAAAAATTTGTTTATAATGAGCATTTATTTGATACGTAGAGGTCCCAATCATTATTGTTCTTTAAATTTTAAAATCGATAGTTGTAGGAGTGTCTCATCTAATTTTAAATTAGATAAAAGATATTGAATGTTAAAAAATGATATTTCAAATTCTTTTACTTTTTAGGATAATCATTTAGTAATTCTCAAATAGTTCTTAAAATTTCATATTAATAAAACCTCCCCAAATAGTCTTCCAAACCTGGGAGTAAATATAAATTATAGTATATAATATACATGCATGCGTGTACGTTACGGGGCGGTTGATAATATTCGTTGCCTTTCTTGGCTGGAGCTATCGCTTGATAAACAGTTTATAAACTTACTCTTCTGTCTCTCAATCGGCATTGGAACCCGAAACAAGAAAATCTCTTTCAGAATTGGAATCTCCCAATGGAGGGAGTCATAGAACAATAGTAGGGATTGATGCAGGTACATGAGAGGAACTTGTCAAAACATATTATACTCCTGGGATTAATTTTAGCACCTTAAATTTTGGGGAGACAACCTCTTCAACATATATGTTGACTTTAAGTAAATAAATAAAAATTCCCAATTGCAGCTTTTATTCCCTTGAAAATAACATCTCATAATTGAATAGGACCATCCAATTTTTAGAGGGTGAGATCTATGCATTAGAAAACTTAAAATTTAATTTTTATTTTTTAATTTACCAATAATCATCTAGTGATATTTAGGTGGTTTTCAAATTTTCATTTTGAAAAAATCTTCCCTTCCCAAGTAGATTTTATGAGTAAGGGAGCAGATGTATGCTATGATTCAGCGGAACATGGTATTCACATCATAAAATAACACATTAATTGATTCCTGGCATCTTTAAATGCCATCAGGATTTGTTGGACTCATGTACATTGAGCAATTCCTAAAGGACTATATTGAAGTAAAAAAATGACATATTACCGAAATCAAACTACAGTTACGTTTAATTAAGTAACAACAGATAATTAGGGGATTTGAGCGTAAAATTCTGCAATTAATTTGGGGATTTGAGCGTAAAATTCTGTAATTAATCTGGGGATTTGAGTGTAATTAAGTAACAACAGGTAATTAAAGCCGTTATTTTCAATATTTTGCTAAACCTGAAGCTCATTTCCCTTTTGTATTAGCATCGCTTAAATCAATGTTTTTAAAACACAGTGATTTCCGATCTAGATCTCCACTATAGATGGCAATTTGTCAGGACTGAATTGGTTCCCCCTAAAACCCCCAATATATATTTTTTAGCTTATACTAATGTTTTCATAGGCCCCTCTAAATCACCATTTTATAATCCCCTATTTTGATTCTTATCTTATTCCATTTATTTTTCAATGTTTTTTGGATCCCTGACAGATCCAAATCCAACGCGGATCACTAATCCAACTATCCAATACAGATCATTGATCCAATGATCCAACATGGATCTGAGGTTGGGCGATTTGCTCTGATCTGCACTTTAAAGCATTGCTAGAAATTGCAATAAAGTTGCTCAAATTCACATGAAAGATGGAATCTCGTATACATTTTGAGAGGACAATAGCTTAGTGAGAGCTCAGCCGAAATTTAGAAGAAGATGCACAAAATTTGGACTAATGTTGCTTCAAACTTATTCTAGTTATTTGGTATTTCGAGATGGACCACATGATGGTTCCTTTTGCACAAAATTCCTAATGTTATATGCAGTGTTTTAAAAAACGCCGAGTCGAACCGGACTCGCCCGGTTCGACTCGGAAATCGTGAAAAGGGGACCGGATCGCCTAAAAAATCGGAAATCGTCCGGTTCTAGAGAGAACCGGACGATTATGTACAGTGAATCGCCGATTCACTGTACGGAATCGGTGAGTCCGAACAGTGAATCGGCAAGTCCATAAGGAATTTTTTTTTTTTTTTTTTTTTGTAATCCATGATCGAATTTGTTTTTGTTTTTTGTAATCCATGATCAAATTTTTTGGTTTTTTGTAACCCATAATAGAATTTTTTGTAATCCATGATCGAAA